ATATATATATATATATATATATATATATATATATATATATACTACATATGTAAGCATTTAAGACAAAGTCTTAATTACAACTCTTGAAGCCTAAAGTACTACCATTTTATGCAACAATTTCAAAAATCTCTTAATTACAAATTCTTATGCATAATGTACAAGCTTTTTATGCATCTGCTTTCCAAAGACCAAAAATTACTTATGTTGGGCCGGTTTCTTCTTTAGGTTTCTTCCTCTTATATCTCCTACCTCTGCTACCACCCAAGACCAAAACTTTTCTTCTCTTCTGTATCATTTTTCTGCACCAGCAACATTTTGGGTTAGAAAGCAGAGGTCTTTCTTCTTCACATATCTCGTTTGGCGTAACAATGGTGTTTTGGATGTATCACCTCGATCAGAGAACCAATTTCATGTATCAAAGGGATTTGATGTATCAAAAACTCATTGATACAAATAGCTCCCTCCTCGCTGTTGATTTAATTTCAAAGGTTCTTCAAAACCCTAGAATTTGGAGGGGTAGTTGGGCTTTGTTTGTAGAAGCAGGAGAGAAAAAGTCGAAATCGAGGAGCAACAGCAAGATAGATCAACACAGTAGCAACGATTTGGAGTTTTGGTTTGAGATTAGTTTAAACCCCCATTGACTTCTGATTTGGGGTTTTGATTTCTATCACCGTTTTTCTGTTTCTTCTCAAGATCTATGTTTGATTTTTGGGTTTGTATGTGTTATATAGTAATCCGTTGGGGAGTTGTATAAATTAGATGGAACCAAGAAGATGATTTGAACCAAAAATTTGATATGGGTTGCAGGTTTTGTGGGTTACCACTGGTTATTGACAAAAGTATCTCGTTGGCGATGGTTTGTGGAGACCTCCACTCTCACCACACCAGATCTTGTGGTTACCAGGTTTTGTGGAGACCTCCATCATCACCACACCAGGTTTTTGAACCCAGATGTATCTCGTTGGCGATTGTTTGCTTCACCCATTGGCCTATTTCTTTCCTCTTCTTGTTCCCATTTCCCCTTTATGGCAGGAAACACTCCGACAGTACCCCACGTATATCGAATCCCAACCTTCTCTGCATCAAATCTGAATCGATACTTGCTCTACACATCAGCTATCAATCGGACCGTCTTCGCTCCCTTCTCCCTCGTACCGTTCCCTCAGTGTGGAAGAATTACCGGCGAATGGTTTTGATTTGGGTTTCATTATCCAGATGTGGTTTTTGTTTAGTTTTCAGATCTGCACATCGTTTTTGTGTTTAAGCTTAGGTTTTCTAATCTGAATAGGTTTTCCCACAAATTTGTTCATTCTTGTTTTTTATTTTGCAGCTGGGTTTTACGATTGGGTAACTGTTCTGGACGGAACTCAGGAAAGTGCTTATGAATGGGTAAGCTACTTACTTCTTACATCCTTGTAAATGTATGTGTTTCTTAGTATAAGTGTTGGGCCAATATCATGTTTGTTCATGCATTATGAAAATACAAGTCAAATGACATATTTTGGTTGGGTGCTTTAGACACAGGTTACTGACTAAAGTTTTTCCTTATGAAAAAAAAGTGAAAAAAGCTGCAATGTTAATAGTTGTTTAAGATGCATGTTTTGTGCTTAAGAAAATGGACTGAGGAACATGTTTATGTGTGTATGTGTGTATGTAAACTCTTTTCCCAAGTGAACATTAGGGTCTTGTTTTTGAGCTCTTATGTGTCTCCAGGATTAATCTGAAACTCCTTTTGATATTGGTTTGAAAGACACCACATTCATTGTCATATCGTATTCTTGCTTTCCATAATAAAACCTGTATCATACCTACAGGTGACCATAAATTATCTGTTAAAAAGATTAGGTAAGAAATATTCAGACACTGTTAGGGTAGTTGATCTGGGTGGTGGATCAGTGATGGGTCACAGATAATCTCAGCCAGTCCAGACAAGATACTGAGGGCATGGGATGTAGAGACAGGGAAGCAGATAAAGAAGATGGCAGAACACTCGTCTTTTGTAAACTCATGTTGTCCTTCTCGGAGGGGTCCTCCTCTTATTGTGAGTGGATCAGATGATGGGACTGCTAAGCTGTGGGATATGCGTCAAAGGGGTGCTATCCAAACGTTTCCAGATAAATATCTGGTCATAACTGTTGGCTTTTCTGATGCTTCAGACAAGATATACAGTGGTGGAATTGACAATGATGTCAAAGTGTGGGATCTTAAGAGAAATGAGGTTACCATGACTCTTCAAGGTCATCAGAATATGATAACTGGTATGCAATTGAACCCTGATGGGTCTTACCTCCTTACCATTGGGATGGACTGTACACTTCGTATATGGGATATGCGTCCATATGCAGCCCAGAATCGTTGTGTGAAGATAATGGAGGGACACCAGCATAATGTTGAGCAGAACCTGCTCAAGTGCGGGTGGTCACCTGATGGGAGCAAAGTTACTGCTGGTAGTTCTGATAGGATGGTATATATTTGGGATACTACTTCAAGACGCATATTGTATAAGCTTCCTGGGCACTCTGGATCAGTTAATGAATGTGTTTTCCATCCCTCTCAACCTATTATAGGATCTTGCAGCAGCGATAARCAGATATATCTTGGGGAGATCTGAAGTTTGTTTGTTATTCAAGAACATATTGTATTATTATACTTGTCGGTAGAAATTAATCTAGAGCTTTGGATGTTTGTGAATGCTGCTTTGTTTTTGGTTTTTGAAGATTGGATCAACTATTGACAGTGTTAAATTCAGTTGCATATTATTGCTGCAAAGAAGAATCATGGAAATCTTTAGACAAGCTTTCCATTGCTTAGTTTGATACTCCATCTGTCATAGTGCCTTATTATAAATGTGATTGTCAATTTATTTATGTATTGGAAGGCAAGGCATATATGTATATACACACACACACATATGGTTGCGGTTGCAGTTGCAGTGAAAAATACTATATACCATCTAATCTAATCTACTCTTCAACTCAACACCAAGTTCAATCTTGTATATTAACTTATTCTAATCCAACACCATTTCTAGGGATTTTTTAAGTTTTTTGGTTGATCTCAAGTGACTTTTCAGGTTTTTTGGTTGATATTCTTTTTATTTTATAATATCACAAAGTACTCCTCAAAGTTTAGCGTTTGCACCTTTCATACCAAAAATACTACTTAGGATAATCGGTTGAGTGGGTGCACGGGGCTGTGTTGCCTTTGAATTTTCATAGGTCTGCCCCTGCTAAAAGTTGTTAAAAATGTTATGTCAATTTATTGTAACACATTTACATAGGATGCATAATTGTTTGATGATATAAATTTGAGTCCTATAAAGCAATATATAAAAACTTCAAAATCGTTAAAATTCACGGCTTCCGCCGCATTGCGCGGGTACACAACTAGTATATATATATATATATATATATATATATATTATTTTATTTAATTATATATATATAAAGTTTAATTAATTGGCGGTTTTAACCCTTTAAGTCTAAATTCTCAAGTTTACGTCAAAATAGGTATAAACTCATTTTTGACGCAAAACTCGTCTGAAGTACAAGTTGGTTAAACATAGGGTACAAATATATTATGCATAATTCTACCAAAAATTCACTTAACCCAATTGTACGAGTTAACGAAACACGGATATTATAATCCTCCCCTCCTAAAAAGAATATTTTGTCCTCGAAACTTAGATAGGGTTAGAGGATTTACATGACTCGAATAGATAAAGGTACTCCTTCTGCATAGATTCTTCCGTTTCCCATGTGGCTTCTCTTTCAGAATGATTTTGCCATAACACTTTAACGAACGATATTGATCTTCGTCGCATTTGTCTCTCTTCTCTATTAATTATCACCTCTGGTTCTTCAATATAAGAGAGATCTTTTTCAACTTTGTCCAACGGATAATCAATCACATGGAGARGGTGATAATGATATCTGCGGAGTGACGAGATATGGAAAACGTTATGGATATGTGAAAGTTGAGGAGGTAAGGCGATATGCCACCTCTCCAACACGTTCCTGTATTTCRAAGGGTCCGATATATCTTGGACTAAGTTTACCTTTAATTCCAAACCTACGAATACCTCGTAACGTTGAAACTTGTAGAAAGACGTGATCACCCGGTTGAAACTCTAAATGCTTTCGATGCTTGTCAACATAACTTTTCTATCGAGATTGAGCCTCTTTCATTTTTTGTTTTGCGATCTCGACTTGTTCAGTAGTAATCCAGACAAGTTCGGGTCCTTCGATAGCTCGTTCCCCCATTTCATTCCAATAGATCGGTGTTCTACACTTCTGACCATATAAAGCTTCGTACGGGGCCATGCCGATACTAGCTTGCCAACTATTGTTATACCCGAACTCCACAAGATATAGGGACTCGTCCCAACCACCAGACCACTCAAGAGCACAAGCCCATAACATATCTTCTAGAGTTTGAATAATTCGTTCAGTCTGACCATCTGTTTGTGGATGAAAAGTTGAACTCATAGTCAATCGCGTACCCCAAGCTTGGTGAAGACTTTTCCAAAATCGAGAAGTGAATCGCRGATCTCRGTCCGATGTGATAGAAACTGGCGTGCCATGTAACCTCACGATTTCCCGTTGGAATAGATCAAACAGTTTACTAACAGGGTACGTCTCCTGTATAGGTAGGAAATGAGCCGATTTTGTCAAATGGTCAACTACTACCCACAACATCATGTCGTCTCTGAGTTTTCGGCAGTCCTATCACAAAATCCATAGAGATATGTTCCCATTTCCAAACTGGAATCTATAATGGTTGTAACAATCCGCTAGCCCGTAGATGTTCAGTCTTCACTTTCTGGCAAGTAAGACATTTTGCCACGTATTCGGCTATATCCCGTTTCATATCATTCCACCAAAAGTATTGTTTTAGATCTCGGTACATCTTAGTGGATCTGGGATGAATTGAGAATAACGAATTATGAGCTTCACTCATAAYTGCTTCTTTGAGTTCAGGATTGCCGGGTACACAAAGTCGATTAGAGAACCAGATAATACCTTTATCATCAACTCGAAAATTAGACTGTGAATCATCTTTAGCCTTTTGTAAGATAGCCCATGGTTCTCCATCATCTTGTTGAGCCTTTTTGATTCGAGATACAAGAGCTGGTTCAACCGTGAGACTAGCCAAAAGTTCATTTGCACCACGATAACACAAAGAGATACCCATACGTTCTAGATCTGAAGCAATATGGGACTGAACGGTTAAAGACGATACGTTACCAATGCTTTTACGGCTAAGGGCATCGGCGACTACATTGGCTTTGCCTGGATGATATTGAATTCGGACATCGTAGTCCTTAAGAAGTTCGAGCCATCGTAGTTGACGCATATTCAACTCTTTTTGCGTGAAGATGTACTTTAAACTTTTATGATCAGTAAAGATATCACAAGTCTCTCCGTACAGATAGTGACGCCATATTTTGAGTGCAAAAATGACTGCTGCCAACTCAAGATCATGAGTAGGGTAGTTTACTTTATAAGGTTTGAGCTGGCGAGAGGCATACGCAATCACTTTGTCGTGCTGCATTAGAACACAACCAAGACCACTTTTAGAAGCAGCACTATAAACCTGAAAACCTCCTGTTCCAGATGGCAATGCGAGAACAGGCGTTGTAATCAATCTCTTTCTCAGTTCTTCAAAACTCTTTTCCTGTTCTTCACCCCAAACAAATTTAAATTCTTTTCGAAGAAGTTTAGTCATAGGGAGCGCGATCCGAGAAAAGTTTTCAACAAACCGTCGATAGTAACCTGCCAGACCTAGGAAACTTCGGACTTCAGAAACATTTGTTGGTTTTGGCCAGTTAGTGATAGCCTCAACCTTTGCAGGATCGACTTTAATGCCTTCGCCAGAGATAATGTGACCCAAAAATGCCACTTGWTGCAACCAGAATTCACACTTAGAAAACTTTGC